GGAAATGCACACACACACACATACACTTACATAAAAACAATCATGGTTAATAAGTGAATAATTAACAAGGACAAAACGTGACTCAAGCAGAATGAATAAACTCGTCTGTCCAGAAGCTAGAATAAGTTATATGGGCTTAGCATAGCAAACGACACTATATACTTACGGACCGGATAGCTCACTGGTAACGTCTTTGACTGTCAAACTGGGGGACAGGGGATCGAACCCGTCAGGGAGCAGCAGTTCCCTCAAGATTACAGGTACACCTTACTGACGAGTGCCAAGTAGCAAGAAATCCGTGTCCAGGGTTTCCTATTGACTACCTCCAACCACCATCTAATCTCAATATAGTGCTCGCAGTGTTGAGTCACCTAGACTGGTGGCCACATTGCAACTTGGTTGATAGTATTCGATCTGCACTAAGAAGGACTTGACACATATGACATCATTCACCAACCAATGATCAATCATTTGTGATTACACTACATAATCCTCCAGATCTCATTGACAGAATTCATAGATCAAATGAATTATTTACTCTGATTCTATACAGTTCACAGAAAATAACTTTATCAAAGATAATTTATCATATTCAAAGATCACATATACCCTATCATATTCACTATAAAATGTTTTTCAATGAACTAATTCCTCGATTTAATTCTTCCGTTTTTTTTTGGTTTTCATGTAAAGTAAGTTTCCAAGTTATTTTGTCTGGGATTTTTGAAAAACTATTTAAAAAAAAAAGAAAATAAAAGCTGTTACATTGTTTCTATGTCAGTGTTAGTTAGCTACAATATAGGACCAGGCACAACTATGCACCGGTTCAAGTTGCCATGGAGAATATCATCTCAGCATGTGTTGACAATCAATCCTGATTTTTGTTGTGTGTGTTTTTTTCTTTGTTTAAAGAAAAGCCAAGCTGTGAGACTGTAATTTTAAAAAAAAATTAAAAACATAAACGTATTCTGATTTGTTTTTATTATTTCGCCTGTAATAATGATTTACAAATTACAATTTGGGAAATTAATTGTTACATAATCTTGTGTTTTTAATAAAAATGTTTTTAAGTAGTTTATTCAGTAGTATGATGGAAAATATGGGAAGTTTAATTTGATATAAACTGTGTATGTGTATTCATTTGATATTGTTTCCTTGCATCATCATCATCATCATCATCCCATTGATGTTTAAGACTGTAATTGATCAGTCTGTTATTGTCAAATGTACATCTTGTGCGTATTGCCTCGATATTGCCGTAATTCACAACGTTTTTAAGCAAAGATGAATAGTGGCTAGCAGTGGAATCCAGTTTGATGCGCATTTCGTTCTATTTGGGACTTGTCAGCAGGATGTACCTGCATCTCAGAGTTGATATTCACTGCGGGATTCGAATCCATCGCGTTAAAAGGGGTCGTTTTGAAAATTGAAGAAATCATAATAAGAGATTACTTCTTTGATTTGATATTACTGAATGATAAATCAATCGATTGTAGAAATTTAAACTACCCAAACTGTGAACACTTGATATTGACGTCTTAATCATTTCTTGGATCTTCAGGTGTTTTCTATGCTCGAACTCCACACGGTAGACAAAAGGCACGATTTATAAATGTTCAAGTAACTAGAGTATTTATAAGGTTTTTGGTAGCTTCCATCTTCTGGATTCAAATTCAATTTGAGAAATTCTCAAATTGTAATTTAGAACAAGATAAATATAAGTGGACCTTATTGTTTTCGATTAGATCTTCATCAGACTATACTCTAATATACAGTAATGTATTTATATATGCACATACGAAATGAATTAAACCAATGAAGGCAGTTTATGATTCAATCATGATAACAATGGAATAGGTTACATAAATAAGTTAAAAGTACCAATTGATAGTGTGATGACAACTGCACGAGTTGTGATTAGAATAATAAAGGCTTGAATCCATGTTACATAATGGGAAATAGGTCATTGATTAGAAGAATATAGACAGTGAGATAACATTCATTATAAGATTACGTAAAAGAAGGGGAGTTCAACCTGGTCTGTTGTGAGATATCAGCTCACTGAAGACAATGGTGTACGGTGACGCAACTTCGTGGATTGGTGGAAGTTAGACATTGAGACCGTTGGATGCCGGCTGAGTGGTCTAGTTGACTAAGAGCCTGGCACGAGACTGATAGATCCTGGGTTTGGATCTCGCGGGGTGCGGGGTCGTGGGTACGTACTGCTGAGGAGTCCCATACTAGGAAGAAACGGCCGTTCAGTGCTTCCAGGTTTTCCATGGTGGTCTAGCCTCAATTGGCTCATGATTTCAATCAGTAATAAGAAGTGTTCACATACCTGAACCATGAAGCGTATATTTGAGGAAAGAAAAGAGTGGGAGGTGGTGAAGAAAGAGTATGGAAAATAATAATAAATAAAACTATTTATTAAGGTCAAGGGAGAGATAAAGGTGTTACAACTTTCTTATGAACACAAAGACTTGGATTGTTGGCCCGAGCTCCTATAGCTTCTGCCGAGTGTTAGAGACGAGATCGAACACCATAAAGAAAACTAGTAGGAATACAATAAATGACATTAAATGACTTATTTCTGTCTACTACATAACGGCTATCGATCAAGCATGATAAGACCGAGCTGCGTATTGTCTTGACACTACCTATTCCTAACCACGAAGGGAGGTGTATACTAACTCTTTGGTTCAGTTGTCTGATAGTGCACCCAATATAGCTTACACCTGTCATCACACTACCAATTTGTACTTTTCACTTAATTATGTAATCTATTCCATTGTTATCATCATTGACTCATAAACTGCCTTCATTGGTTCAGTTCATTTCGTATGTGCATATATAAATACATTACTGTATATTAGAGTATAGTCTGATGAAGATTTAATAGTTTTAGACAAAACCAATAACCGATTATAAACCTAAAGCTTTATGTCCAAAATAAACCTGTTCAATATTGTCAATCCATTTTGAGTAGATGAAGGCATAGATATTTTACCTTTATGTATATTCACAGTTCAAATCAATGTCATTCATATATTTTAATAAGATTGGGAAATTGATTTATTATCCATCTATTGTTAATCATTGAATTCATGAGTTGATTCAAGCTAGATCACTATTGAAAACTTGAAATCAATGAACGGTTATTTCGTCCTAGTATAAAAGTTCTCAACAGTATACATCCACGATCCCGTACTCAGGATCCCATTTATTCTATAGATTACGTAATCATGTATAAAACATTTATTTCAATTCATGATTACATTATAGTCTCTTTTAAATCACATTGATAACCATGAATAATTTTTCTCGTTATCGTTTTTTTAGCGAGTTAGTTTTCTACGGGATGGGGTCGCTAACCCTATGCCCCAACCCTCCTTTATCCGGGCTTGGGATCGGCATTAGCCACCGGAGGGACTCCACGCAGAGTTCACATTGATAACCATATTAATGAGTATCAATTTTTACTAAACCAATGAATAGATAAGCATATTAGTTATTTCATTATTTAAAAACTTTATTTTCTAAGATGATGAATAATATTGGTAGCTCAAGTGGATGATTTTGATAGAATTTTGTTCTTTGAACTGGATGGTTCGGTCGTGAAGTTTACATCCTTCTTCTGAACGACATCATTAACACAAACTTCATGTAGACCTCAATCTTGATTGATTACTGTTGATCTTTAAAATGTCATTGTTCACTTTATTTTGATTGTATCTTTCAATCAGAAAAATTATGGTCAAATATAAGACCATGAAACAAATCAATAATGGGAGATACAATCAAATAAAAGAAGTACATTATGACAGGTTAAATTTCGACAGTAATCAATTAAGATCGAGGTCTACAGGACAAGTTTGGAGTTATATATCGATAAATTCTAACACTTCAATTCTACCTGAAGTTTATGCTGATGATGTCGTTCAGAAGAACGATGAAAGCTCCACGACTTAATTATCCAGTTCAGAGAACAAAACTCCATCAAAATCTTCATTTTCTATTGTAAATCATAAAGATGAATTCATTGAAGTCACATCATTATTAACACGGTTTGATTATTTTAAACTAATCTATGTTCTATAAACAAAGATACATGACGGCTAACAGTAGGATATCAGGACAGACATTTCATTCTAATTAAGAAGATACAAGTAAATAATACCATTAGGAATTTGATCCATATTCTGTTATCATTTCTTGAAATGATAACCTTGATTGTTTTATATGAACGTATGTATGTGCATTGCATATCCTACTCATGACATGTCTCTAACTTATTTTTATTCTTCTATAAATATCGATTCACGCTTAGTTAAATCGAGTTTGTACACACTCCTTCTCCAGTGCAGTGTACATCATTTCACTTCATCCTCTTCTCTTCACTTTGTTTCTCCATTCGTTTATATAGATCAATAATTATACAAGGTTACTATGGGAAGGAACAAACCAAATCCCGGAGGAGGAAGAAATCAGGAATTAGTGCTGGAAGTGGATAGGACACACAAATTAAGGAAAGCATCGAACTGCATCACAAGACAAGCCCCTACATGGAATCCTCAAAGCCAATGAGGGTGAAGAGGAAGACCAAAGAATGGAAATAGACATGAGAAAAATGAACAAGAACTAGATGGAACTAGAAAAGAATGCTGAGGACAGAGTGGGTTGGAGTTTGCTGGTTTGTGGCCTATGCTCTATTAGGAGTAACAGGCGTAAGTAAAGTAAGTAAGTAAGTAAGTAAAGTAAAGTAATTATACAATGTATAGATATTCGAAATATTCATTCTCATATTTGACTTATTTTAATTCCATTATACACGAATACTAGTCCAATCAAAGATTGGCGATATGTTGTCTATTTTGACAATGATCATTCATATGATCCATTTCAAGTCAGATCTATGATCACTAAAAGTTTATTTACATCAAAACAAAACAAAAACAAAAAGAAGATAATACATAGTACAGTGATTACGTAATTTGACTTACCTTTTTATACCATAAGTGAAATCAACAAATAAATGATAATAGATTATAATGGATAATAATAATAAGATGATATTTTGATTCATTGAACAATATTGTCACTATCTTTTATGTATATAGAGATATAGATATAGATAATACAGTCACGTCAGTGATTATCTTCTAAGTGATTATGTAATGTGGTCAAATTAAAATTTAAAAAAAAGAACAATTTAGTGAGTTTCTACAATAAACTGCATGTTTCTCTTTTTTTTTCTTTTTTTGAGGAGGGGGGCAGTTAGCAACAAGTTTAAGCAATGTAATGAAGAAGAAGTGTTCTATGAATAGAAGACTATTTATAATAAAATTAATTGTTAGTATGTTTACAAAAGTACACAAATGCATATGTATGTATGCACGCACACACACACACGTACGTACCTACGTACGCATGCCTGGACGCACATACGCACATGTACACATGTTTTTGTATCTACATAACAATTTAAGATTGTTACTGTTGAAAGGTGAAAAATGAAAAAAAACTTAGATTGTGGGCGACTGGAAAAAAACAAAAAAAAGCGTGATATGATTGGTTAGTTATTTGGTTAAATTATTATGTTTATTACATAACAGGTTAATAATAGTAGAGTTACATTTGGATAATATAAATGTTACATTCTATTCTTCAATGTATATGAACGTTATAAGAAAGATTGAGGTTATTCATAGTTCATTACTTATTTACTTACTTACTCCTGTTACTCCCAATGGAGCATAGGCCGTAGATTAGCATTCTACAACCCACTCTGTCCTCGGCATTCCTTTCCAGTTCTATCCAATTTTTGTTTATTCTTCTCATGTCTGTCTCCATTACTCGGGATAATGTGTTCTTTGGTATTCCCCATCACCCCCATTGGCCTTGAGGATTCCATGTGAGGGATTGTCTTGTGACGCAGTTGGGCGCTTTCCTCAATGTGTGTGTCCTATCCACTTCCAGCACTTCTTCCTCCACTGGGATCTGGTTTGTTCTCTTCTATAGTAGATTGTTGCTGATAGTATCTGGTCAACGAATCCGAATTATTTTTTGTAGACAACTGTTAATAAACATCTGTATCTTCTGGATGATGGTTGTGGTAGTTCTCCAAGTTTCCATCCCATACAGTAGAACTGTTTTGACATATGTATTGAAAATTCTGACTATGGTGTCAATTGACAGACAGTTGTTTTGAGTTCCAGATATTGTGTGTTGCTCTTACTTTTCCGATTCACGCCTTCACATCGGGATCAGATATTTATAGTTGATTATCAGACTATAAAATGATTAAGAAGGATCGTTGAATCCGATAAATTCAATGTAATGGATACTTGTTAACAAGTATATCTATAATCTTCGAAGTTCATCTTAATGCTGATGTGTAAATCGCATTAGGAATGACTTTCAGTAGGATTGAAATATATGTATATATGTTGTCTAGATCTGTGGGAAATGCTAGTTCATGAATATGATTGTTGATTCCTTAATTGTACATGTTAAGCTGTTTCACTAATGGGGTCATTTGGTTGACAGAATTAAGACGTTTATAGAATCGGTTCATATAGCATGTATCTACTTAAGCCGATCGTATCACAAACAATAAGTTGAATTGCGTATTAAAATAGGTGTATATTTCATAAGATTCATTTCTCTCATATTCAACTAGTATTTATTCTCACAGATTGAAATCATGAGTCAGTTGAAGCTAGACCACCATGGAAAACCTGGAAGCACTGGACGGCCGTTTCGTCCTAGTATGGGACTCCTCAGCAGTGCGCATCCACGATCCCGCACCACGCGGGGCTCGAACCCAGGACCTACTGGCTTCGCGCGAGAGCACTTAATCACTAGACCACTGAGCCGGCATCCAACGGTGTTAATGTCTAACTTCAACCAATCCACGAAGTTAGACATTAACACCGTTGGATGCCGGCTCAGTGGTCTAGTGGTTAAGTGCTCGCGCGCGAAGCCAGTAGGTCCTGGGTTCGAGCCCCGCGTGGTGCGGGATCGTGGATGCGCACTGCTGAGGAGTCCCATACTAGGACGAAACGGCCGTCCAGTGCTTCCAGGTTTTCCATGGTGGTCTAGCTTCAACTGACTCATGATTTCAATCTGTGAAAATTTCTAAAACTCTCCACAAAAACCCGTTCTGATAGTATTTATTCATTCAAATAATGTCCATTACAACAGAGGATCAAAAATAGTATGTGTTGTACGAGCTAAAATTTATGCATGGATTGAGATACCATCCTGTGACTCAAATTAACTCAGATTGTTTTCTCAGGGTGGTAATAAATAAACCTTAGACCTAAAGGTTAAGTTCATAAAGGTGCTGCTTCATGGTAACCAGCGGCTAAAACTAAATTCATAGGAAATTTGTGCCCTCAGGATCCTGGAGCTCATATGAACTTCCGGTTTGAAATTCGGTTCTTTCACTTGGTTCAGCAACTTTCCTGGCACTGATATTAGTGTGATGCCTCTGTAGTCCTCACACTTTCTCAGATCTCCTTTATTTGGTATGTTGATGAAGTGTACTTGTTTCCAGCATGTGTGTGGCACTTGTTGATTCTAAATAGGAGGTGAAGCATGTTTGCACTTACTTCTATGTCTGACTTCAGTATTTCAGCTTAGATGTTTTCAGGTCCTAATGCTTTATCTTCATTTGTCTTTAATCGTTGTTGAAGTGACATCCATGGGAAGGTCTGTAGGTGCCGCTTCAATATCCGGTGGATTCAATGGGGTTGGTCTGTTTAAGAGTTCGTCGAAGTGTTCCACCAATCTGTTCCTCTGTTCTTGAATCTCCGTGATTGGTTTGCCTCTTTCGTTCTTGATTGATCTCTCTTGTTTACTGTATGGTTGTCTCACATTTCCTTCTCTCGTAGTTTTTTTACTGTCGTTGTTAGGTCTTCCACGTATTTCTGTTTGTTGGCTCTAATGCTCTTCTTCACTTGCTTGTTTGCTTCTGTGTACTCATCTTGTGCCTTGAATTTCTCTACTCTTGTTCGACCGTTGTAAATTACTGTCTTCTTGGTCTTTCTTGAATCTCACCCAGGTTTTTGATAGAGGTCCATTCATTATGATGATGCTTGTTGCGACGCAGCACCTCGTTACACGTTGAGGTTGGTGCTTCTTTAATCCATTTCCAGTTGTTCTCCGTAGTAGTTTCTTATTCTTCATCAGATTACATCCCATAAGTGCTTTGTGCGCTTCTTTCAACAACATCTGTGCAACTCCTTTTGTTCAAGAAGCGTCTACTTAACAACAGGAGAAAATTTAGGGTTTATTTTCGATAAAAATCCTAAGGTTTCATAAAATAATTGTTCTGGCAACCATAATTAGATGAATCCCAATGGTGAATAAATTTCAGAAAACAATACGGAAATTTGAATATAGTTTTATCTCGCCATATCAGCAGCTATTTGACTGATCATTCAGGTCGCTCAAAGTGTCCGAACATTCCTTGTATTTATGTTGGTTATTGCATTGGTTATTAGAGGAGGTATCGGCCTTGTGATTCCCGAAGAATCTCGGCATTCATCCTGAGGAGTCATAACTTTCTGTCACTTGCTGTTATTCAACAAAATCGCCTAGTAACAACATATGAGATTAAATACAAACTTCTAGTCTTAAGAAGTCCGCTAGATAATTATGTCATATATCGGTCATTTCATAATTTTCATAAATTCCTATTTCATAGAAAAACCAGCTGCCGATAAATGATTAGTCAATCACTTATGAACAATTGCAGTTAAGATAAATAGGTGAGGCCTCGGTAACTGTTTGGAACTCGTCAGCTGGACGTACCTGATAAATGTTCAGTTCAGGACTGAAAACACCATCATGTTATCCACTTAGCTACTGGGTACAGAAAGCCAGTAGCTTGTGCAATGGTATGAAGTTTAATTAAAATAAAACAAAACGTGCATCCTAGAACCCATTGCTAGCCACTATCCATTTCTGCTTATAATGTTTGTGACTTGAGGCAATATCGAGGCAATTCGTTTAGAATACACATATGCCAATAAAAGACTTGTCAATTACAGCTATAAACGTCAACTGAAAGATTCAAATGAATGAAATGTTTACATAGCTTGATGTTTTCAAAAGTACAACCCATTCAGCAATAAAAGTACACTGTACACATAGTTAATGAATGTAAGAATGAAAAAACCTTGACTCTTGAAGAACGCTGACACTCGTATTCAGAGGACATTGTTTGATATTTTCATCATCTGAGAAGACCAATTTGTAATATGCTTATAAATAGTATTGAAAAGCTTTGAATCACTTCTTTGTTTCGATTTGGATGATTAATTTCAGCCTTCTCTGTTGGTGTTTATCATTTTTGAAGGAAATTAATTATTACTAACATACTGTTATTATCATTCAAGACCGTATAGTGATTATAATGAACAATATTCAGTACAAAATAAACCAATATGTGATAGTATTGGTGTTCATTCATAGTGTGGTGCGTGTTACTTATATTGATATAAGTAGTATATGACGCGAGTCAGGAATATAATGTGTAACAGCAGAAGATGGGGAAGATCAATAAAGTAGGAGTGAGAATAGAAAGCAATTAGTATGGAAATGCAAGAAGAACGAAGTTCGAGACAATGATTGAACATTTTGCAAATTCAGTAGTGTGGTTTGTCTATTTTATGAAGTAACTCTGTAATTTTGTGCTAAATATAATTCGATTGTCCCCACCCGTATTCTGTTCACTACAATGACACTCCAGTGGATATTCAGAGTATTCTGGTTAACAATTGTAATTTCACTGATGAAGCTATAAATCTTTATCGACTAAAAGGATTAGAATATGTGTTACACATACATAAACAAAGCTTACCTTGATACTCAAAACTGATTGGCTAGATAAACATTAAAACCGAAATATGTCACTGGTTTGTGATAAAGATACAAACTTATTGATCAGGATCTATGGGATGATCATAATCTGTGGTCGGAGATATTAAGTTACATTGTGTAAAATCAGTTGCACGAATATAGTTGGAATCATTCTTTATCGTCCCCTAAACATTGATCTAAATTTCATGAATATTTTTCAATCATATTTGTTCTGGATGGATATTTATCTTGAATCTTGCATAGTTCAACTTCATGAATATAACCTGACACTTATTTATCCCTGTTATAATAGTCAGATTTCTTTGTGTACACAAATGGGAAGTTAATTTGACTTAGACGAATATCTACATTAGATTACCTCCTGGTGTTTATTCTATAGAACTTCAACACAACTTAGATTAAGAACACTTGATTAACCTGACTAGAATGTAAATATATTTCCACACCGAAAACCGACAACAATCCGTCAATAATCACAGTAATAATAAAGGTGAAAGAATATATAACTCATCTGTCAGACTATCTATAAGTTTAACTAAACAAACAATCAATCATTATCATTCTCACCAACACATCAATCCCAGGTTCTACAATGTTGTAGATTAAATCAATGAAAATCAGAAAATTGGAGATAAATATTTTGTATTTTGTGAATTGAGAGAGTTCTGGGTTCGAATCCCGCAATCGCAACTATGGATGCACACTGCTCAGAAGTCCCATACCAGGACGAAACGGTTGTCCGGTGCTTCCAGGTTTTCAATCATGGTCTAGCTTGAATCGACTTATGAATTCAATTATTAAAACCTTTCAGTATATAAAAATGGCAACATCAAAAAGCAATTCAACAGTCATTCACTAGACAAATTAACATCTTACAGTAAACATCATCCCGTTTCTAATCAAAAAATAACATGACTAAAACTATGACCATATGACACAAAAGTGTCCATCTTCAAAGAAAATTGCTTCATGTAAATTAAGTACTACCACTACTACTACTACTACTACTACTACTACTACTACTACTACTACTACTACTACTACTACTACTACTACTACTACTACTACTACTACTACTACTACTACTACTACTACTACTACTACTACTACTACTACTACTACTACTACTACTACTACTACTACTACTACTACTACTACTACTACTACTACTACTACTACTACTACTACTACTACTACTACTACTACTACTACTACTACTACTACTACTACTACTACTACTACTACTACTACTACTACTACTACTACTACTACTACTACTACTACTACTACTACTACTACTACTACTACTACTACTACTACTACTACTACTACTACTACTACTACTACTACTACTACTACTACTACTACTACTACTACTACTACTACTACTACTACTACTACTACTACTACTACTACTACTACTACTACTACTACTACTACTACTACTACTACTACTACTACTACTACTACTACTACTACTACTACTACTACTACTACTACTACTACTACTACTACTACTACTACTACTACTACTACTACTACTACTACTACTACTACTACTACTACTACTACTACTACTACTACTACTACTACTACTACTACTACTACTACTACTACTACTACTACTACTACTACTACTACTACTACTACTACTACTACTACTACTACTACTACTACTACTACTACTACTACTACTACTACTACTACTACTACTACTACTACTACTACTACTACTACTACTACTACTACTACTACTACTACTACTACTACTACTACTACTACTACTACTACTACTACTACTACTACTACTACTACTACTACTACTACTACTACTACTACTACTACTACTACTACTACTACTACTACTACTACTACTACTACTACTACTACTACTACTACTACTACTACTACTACTACTACTACTACTACTACTACTACTACTACTACTACTACTACTACTACTACTACTACTACTACTACTACTACTACTACTACTACTACTACTACTACTACTACTACTACTACTACTACTACTACTACTACTACTACTACTACTACTACTACTACTACTACTACTACTACTACTACTACTACTACTACTACTACTACTACTACTACTACTACTACTACTACTACTACTACTACTACTACTACTACTACTACTACTACTACTACTACTACTACTACTACTACTACTACTACTACTACTACTACTACTACTACTACTACTACTACTACTACTACTACTACTACTACTACTACTACTACTACTACTACTACTACTACTACTACTACTACTACTACTACTACTACTACTACTACTACTACTACTACTACTACTACTACTACTACTACTACTACTACTACTACTACTACTACTACTACTACTACTACTACTACTACTACTACTACTACTACTACTACTACTACTACTACTACTACTACTACTACTACTACTACTACTACTACTACTACTATATGTATTGGGAAACTGCAAACGTTTAAAAATTTCCCTCATTAATCATTCGTTTTCTATTCACTTTCATTTTCTGTTTTTTTAAAGAGAAATATTCGACTATTTTAAAATTAGCGGTAAAGAATTCATCATCATTTGTTTTAATAAATCCATTTGTATGTGTTGTGTGTATTTCATCGGTTGTATTAAACAAAGTTCATTGTTTTTGTCATAAATCTTCTTTGTGGTTCAAATGTTCAATTTTGTTTATATTAATTATTACTCATGTTTTATGAGTGTGTGTGTGCTCGCGCGCGTGCGCACCCGCGAAAAACGAAATCCATTAAATAATATCATCATAATAATTTTATTGAATTTTGTATCTTTCTATTTTAATAGTGAAAACAAATGGTTTATTAATTAACAACAATAAAATGAATAACGGTAAAGTATTTCATTCACTTTGTGTTGTTTACTTGTATCTTTCCATTGTTATTCAGGATTGAAATTGATCAGTCTTTTGTTGGCATATGTGCATCCTATGCGGATTGCCAAGATATTACCTTAATTCACAAGTTTTCTAAGCAGATATAAATAGTGGCTATCGGTGGCGTTTAAAGCGAAAGGTATTGGGTTCGAGTCCGTAAGTGAACATTAACTCTGATATGAAGGTATATCCAGCTGACAAGTCCCAAATAAGATGAAACGCACGTCCTAGATTCATCTGCTAGCCATTATCCACCTTTGCTCAGTAAAGTTTTTTCATTTAAATAGCTTGGTAATTCATTCTATTTCTGTTATAAGTTGTGAACCTGACTACCCTGTTTATTGTATAACACAACGATACGGCCAATTAGAGAGCAGTGAAATATCAATCGAACTAATGACGCATAAAACCCGTACGAGCAGTCTAGAATCCTGAGTGGTCCTGCTTTCCGCCTAACCCAGCCAATTAAGTCCAGAACATCAATCTCAGCCTCTGTGATATCAATCATTTATTTCAAACATACTGAGTTTCTATATCAACTAGACAGACTACATTGTACCATAAAATAGGAAACAACATTTGTACAAAAAATAACAAAATGTAGCTGTGAATGTAGGAGACAGTAAGTGATAGACTGGGCATAAGCCAATTATGGTAAGTCGTATAATAATAGTTCATAAATCAAAATAAAACTCATAATAAGAGGAACACTAGTATGAATAGTTTAGTTATTCAACAATTTCACTTCATGAGTCTGCATTGGATCCTCCTTGTTCATCGATGATGCAGCTAACCAGATACGTGAAAGATTCCACATTTTCCAGAGCTTCTTCATCAAGTGTGATTGCATTGGTGTTCTTCGTGTTGTATTCAAGGATTTTTCTTCTTCTTCTTTTGTGTATGTTGACGCCTACTGATTCAGAGGCTACTGCTACACTAGTTGTCTCTATCTGCATTTGTTCGGGATAGAAATAGTACAACAAGAGATAGGAGATAGTTGAATAAATGATATGATGACAAAAAGATATGAGAGTTTCAGAACTTGATACCATAGAGTCAATTTTATCAAAACAGGTTGAAAAGGTTAAAAAAATGTCTCCATATTGATAAAAATCAGTTTTCTAACACTCAAAAGTAATAGCTTCAGCAAGCCTTAGAAGAATGGGGGCTTGATTATCCACTAATCATATATAAAGACTGCAATTTAACGTTCTTCTTTTTCTTCCTCTTCTTCTAAAACACTCTCCATGTATGATTGCATTGGTGCACGTTGATTGGCTAGTACCTATCCAATCAGTGCTAGTCGGTACTCGGAGTACACTCTAGAATCTTCTCGTGTAAAAACTATAAATATACTAACATTTTCCCCATTGTACTTCATACTTCCATCTAACCTTGTTATTTTGGAATATAATCTCTTTCCTGTTCAACAGTGTTCTGATTTGAGGACTTGTCGACTGAGTTGGTGTCCAAGAATACTAAGGCAATAGGAATAGCTGAGTTGTAATAAAAGAGAATAATAACATAAGCTCTTCTCTATCTCTGACCAATGTAACTTCCTCAGTAGGTACTTTTAAATTTAGAAACACATTGGATGATGATAATATATATAGGGTTGTTTATTAACCTTTAGTGGAATGATTAAACACGTTGTTATTTGCAAGATTTACAACACAGCATGCACCAATCCAGTCACAATTGACGGAGAAGATTTGCAAGATGTAAAAACCTTTACATATTCGGGCAGCATCATTGATGAACACAGTGGATCTGATGCAGATGTGAAGGCGCGGATCGGTAAAGCAAGAGCAGCATATTTACAACTGAGGAATATCTGGAACTCAGAACAACTGTCTGTTAACCAACACCAAAGTCACGATTTTCAATACAAATGTCAAGATAGTTCAACTGTATGGGATTTAAACTTGAAGAACTACGAAAACCATCATCCAGAAGATACAAGTGTTTAATAACAGTTATCTATGTAAAATACTTCGGATCCGTTGGCCGGACACTATTAGCAACAACCTACTGTGGGAGAGAACAAATCAGATCCCAGTGGATGAAGAAATCAGGAAGAAGTGCTGGAAGTGGATAGGACACACAAATTAAGGAAAGCACCCAACTGCATCACAAGGAAATCCCTCACATGGAACCCTCAAGGCAAAAGGAGGTGAAGAGGAAGTCCAAAGAACACATTACTCCGTGAAACGGAGTAATTGGATGGAATTAGAAAATAAGGCCCAGGAAAGAGTGGGTTATAGAATGCTGGTCAGCGGCCTATACTCCATTAGGAGTAACAGGCGTAAGTGAGTAAGTAAGTAAGTATTTGCAAGATTAATAACTTGACTTCGAAGTAGGTTATGACCATATAAGACTAGATAACAATAGTCATAATTTTACAATACTATTGAACGCAAGTAGAACAATAGTCGTGACAGAATGATGTACATTAATTTCTATTTCATATATACTCTTCACATGTTGAAAACACATACTAAGTTAGATATTAACACCGTTGGATGCCGGGTCAGTGTTCTAATGGTTAAGCGTTTGCACATGAGACTGATAGGTCTTAGGTTCTAATCTCGCGAGGCGGGATCGTGAATATGTACTGCTGAAGAGTCTCACGGTTGGAAGAAAACTGCTGTCTAGTGATTCCTGGTTTTGCATGGTAATCTAGCTTCAATTCACTCATGATCTCAACTATTAAAATCAGATCTGACATTCAAACATCAACTAATCAACGACAATAATTGTGTGAAAACTAGAAAAAAACTCTATACGAGAATGATTGTCTATTTAAAGGTTAAATATATGAATGTTCTAACAGGAAAGAACTGGGAAAAGCTTGGAAACAGGATTTTTTTTTCTAAAAATGAAATATTAATGCTATGAATTACGTAATAGTTAAAAGGTTTAAATAAGAATACAAAAGTAAGATGTTAGGATTAAAGTCTTGCAAAAAAAACAGTATTACGTAACAGAGGTTTTCACCAAGGTCATCACCATAGGGATACAATATCGGTAACTATATTATTTTAGATGTGTATATCTGGTTTAAATTCCTTTTTTTCTGCCTTGACAACTATATCAGTAAAGTGTATAATACATTCAACATCTCATATCTTTTGTCTACTATGAAAGACTATGAAATGACAACATCATGTCCATTGTCAAATGAATGAATGGCTAGAAGCTAAAAGTTACGTAATAGTAACCAAGATAACAACTAAATAAGATGCAAAGATTAAGAAAATCAAATTAGATTTAACTTAACTAAGCGTTGGAAACTAAAGCTATTAAACCATTACAAGATTGATAATCATAATAATTTGAATAGGTCAAGCTATTCATTTCAACTTCTCAGGAATATACTAGAATATGAGAACAACAAATCTTATTTCTTGGTATAGGATAGTGGAGATTGTTGAGTTTTCATTGAAATCATGAACCGATCAATGTTAGATCATCATTGAAAAGCTGGAGAAATGGGACCGTGGATACGAACTGTTAACGAGTTCCATATTGGGACGAAACAGCCATAGAATTCTTCCAGGTTTTCACTAGTAGTCTAACACTGATCAATTTATAAACTTAATCAGATTTCTTTTCTGGTTTTAAAATGTATGCAATTTAGAACATACATGTAAACTTGTAAATATAATTGAAGTTGACATGATCCAGGTATCTGTACTCTTTTGTAAGTTCCAAATAGCAAACTGTACGATATTACTTACTTGCTTACTTAAGCCTGTTATTCCTAATGGAGCATAGGCCGCCGAACAGCATTCTCAGACCCACTCTGTCCTGGGCCTTCTTTTCTACTTCCATCCAATTCTAGTTCATTTTTCTCATGTCTATCTCCATTTCTCGGCATAATATGTTCTTTGTTATTCTTCTTGAGGATTCCATGTGAGGGCTTGTCTTGTGACGCACTTGGGTGCTTTCCTCAATTTGTGTCCTATCCACTTCCAGCACTTCTTCCTAATTTCTTCCTCCGCCGGGATTTGGTTTGTTCTTTCCCACAGTAGGTTGGAATTATAGGATATAGTAAGACCAATTTTTCAGTTGAATAAGTACTTTCAAAACAAGCCTTAATGTAGGATAAATCTTACTGTACTGAACAAGAATACCAGTGGGGACAATCGAATGTATTTCAACACAACATTATAGAGCATCTCATTAAAATCTGAAAACTGTATAATAAATAGTTAATATACAAAATATCAACCCATCGTCTCAAAATTGACTGTTCCTTTTGCAAATATCAGTCCATTGTCTCAAATTTCGTTGTTCATGCATTTTCATACAAATTGTGTTCTGTTACCGTTCTTTCCTTATCGATTTTCTAATGAAATACATTCTATGCCTGACTACCGTTATATACTACTTATATGGATATAAGTAACCCACACTGCATTGCGAGCTTTTTTGTCACCTATGAAGTTAAATGATATAAAAACAAATCTTTACATCACCATAACGTAGTTGATACGTTCAATTCAAGTCTTAGATAAACCTTCATGACTTCAAATGCATACATTCTCAATGGGTCAAATTACAGAATTAAACTTAG